CTCGATGCGGTTGGGCCCTGACTGAGTTCTGGAGTCCTCCTCCTGGCTGACATGTAGAAATAAATGTACTAGAAAATTACCAACTTATGTAATCTTGGTTAGCATCATTTATCAAGTGGACGTTTTGCAATTTTTCTTACTTTTGCCGAGCACCAGGACATGCCAAGAAGTCGGCACAGGGACGTACACAAACACACATGTGTGCTGCTGCTGCTGCTGCTGCTGCTGCCACTGTTTGTGGACTCACTTCCAGGGACACACACAGGAAATGACCATTTCTCAGCATGGCTCTCATTCACTCCTCCCTTCCGAGAGGTAAATTTGTCATACCTTGGATCCACTTTGAGGAATGTTCTGCTGGCTAATTGAAACTCCTTGGCAGTGGAGTGGAGCGGAGTGTAGCCCGAGCACAACTTTATCTCTGGCTTTGACTCAGTTGTCAATCAACCAGAAAAGTAATGAAATTCCAAATTCTCAATTTGTCGAGCTGCTTTACCTTTCTGCCTCCTCTTGTTCAGTCATTGGTTGCCTTAACATTTATTTACCACAAATCGGACCTCCACATTCTATCGCGATATCTGGCGTCTGGCCTGTGGCCGTCTAAGATGCATGATTGGTCCGCGTTCTCCGGACTATGAGCCAGCCGCTGCACTCTGAATTTTACTTCAACAACAAGGAAGACTACAACACCATCCTCGACAGCATGAGCCGGGACTTTAATGAGCGTTGGAACAAGCAATCCCAATCCCCGTACACCAACCTGGAGAACTATGTGCAGCGTGCGGTACTCGGAAATGGCAGCTTTGGCACTGTGGTGCGTGCAGAGAGGGAAGATACTCTTGCTGCAATTTAATTCTTTTGTATATCGACAGCTGCTGGTCAGAGAGAAGGCGGGCAAGAACTACTATGCGGCCAAGATGATGAGCAAGGAGGATCTGGTGCGCCTCAAGCAGGTCAATCATGTCCACAACGAGAAGACAGTGCTGAGTGCCGCTCGATTTCCCTTTCTCATTCATTTGATAGACTCCTCCAAGGACTTTGACTATCTCTATCTCGTGTTGCCCTTCATTAACGGTGGGGAACTCTTCTCCTACCATCGCAAGTGAGTAATCCCCTCGCCTTTTCGAACGTGTTTTGAGTCTTTTTGTGTCCCCCCATCTAACGCTGGCCAAGAGTGCGGAAATTCAGTGAGAAACAGAGCCGCTTCTATGCCTCCCAGGTGGTGCTGGCCCTCGAGTACATGCACCGCATGAGTCTCATGTATCGCGACCTCAAGCCCGAGAATATTCTATTGGATCTCAAAGGATACATTAAGCTGACAGATTTTGGTTTCACAAAGGTACAAAGGTAGACCCAGAAGCGTGATTCCTCTCTTTACATCTCCCTTCTTGCAGCGCGTGGAGGGACGCACCACCACGCTCTGCGGCACTCCGGAGTACCTTGCCCCAGAGATCATCCAGCTGAAGCCGTACAACAAAAGCGTCGACTGGTGGGCCTTTGGCATTCTGCTCTTTGAGTTTGTCTCCGGCCGTTCGCCCTTTTCCGCCCACAATCGCGATGTCATAATCATGTACTCAAAGATCTGCATGGGCGAGTATCGAATACCAAATTATTTCACGGCGCACCTCAAGAACCTGATAGAGGGACTCATGCAGGTGGAAACGTCCAAGCGGTAAGTGGCAATGCGTTATCCATGGACAGCTGATGGATGTTGCTTCAGTTTAGGAAACTCGACGGAGGGTCCGGCGGACATCAAGGCACATCCGTGGTTCCAGGGCGTCGACTGGTTTGCGGTGCTCAATCAGGAGGTGACGCCACCCTACGTGCCCACCGTCACCAGCATCGAGGATCTCTCGCACTTCGATCACTTCGAGGCCAAGGCCAAGCTCAAGTCCAGGATCAATCGTCATCCCGAGCTGTTTATGGATTTCTAGCGGATCCAATGTGGATGTTCCTTTGTTGTCAGTTTTTATTGTGTTTGAGATTTGTGTGAGATTTGTGTGTTTGAAATATAAATCACTTTCCGATTCGGAATCGTTTTGGAACCTCCCAAATTTTCTTCTCTTTTAAATTCAAAATTCAATTGAAAGATGGGCCCCACCCCGACCGACACGCCCATGCACTTTAGCCCCAAGACGGACTATCTGCTCATCCTGGACAAGCTGCGGGACGACTTCAACAAGAGGTACTCGCAGAACGTACCATCGCCCAGCACGGGCCTGGACACCTACGACGTGAAGGCCACGCTGGGCGCTGGCTCCTTTGGCAAGGTGCAGCTGGTACGCGAGAAGGAGTCCGGCCAGTACTTTGCCTCCAAGCAGCTCAGCAAGGATCAAATTGTCAAGACCAAGCAGGTGACGCATGTGATGAGCGAGAAGAATGTCCTGCGCTCCATACACTTCCCGAACACGGTCTTTCTGATTGCCTCGTTCAAGGACAACGACAGCTTGTACTTGATCCTGCCGCTGATAGCCGGCGGCGAGCTCTTCTCCTACCATCGCAAGTGAGCATCGCATCAGAGTTCTCTCTTGCATTTCTGTATCCTTCTTCTTTGCAGAGTTCGCAAGTTCACCGAGAAGCAGGCTCGCTTCTATGCGGCACAGGTGTTCCTCGCCCTGGAGTACCTCCATCACTGCAGCCTGCTCTACAGGGACCTCAAGCCCGAGAACATAATGATCGACAAGAATGGCTATCTGAAGGTGACGGACTTTGGCTTTGCAAAGGCTAGTCTTGCGTTTAGACCTGCTGTGAACATGGATTATAATTCCTTACCCTTGCAGAAAGTGGAAACCCGCACGATGACACTCTGCGGCACGCCCGAGTATCTGCCCCCAGAGATCATTCAGTCCAAGCCCTACGGCACCAGCGTGGACTGGTGGGCCTTTGGCGTGCTCGTCTTTGAGTTTGTGGCTGGCAATTCGCCCTTCTCCGCGCACAATCGGGATGTCATGGCAATGTACAACAAGATCTGCGAGGCAGACTACAAAATGCCTTCGTACTTCAGTAGCTCGCTGCGGCACCTCGTGGAGCACCTGCTGCAGGTGGATCTGTCCAAGAGGTGGGCCCACAGAATAGTCTAATAAATGCATACCCCTAATCGCTACTGTGCCCCTGCAGATATGGCAACTTAATCAATGGCAACAAAGACATCAAGGAGCACGAATGGTTCAAGGATGTCGACTGGATACCGCTGCTCAATCAGACGGTGCATGCCCCCTATGTGCCCAATCTGGCCAACTCCGAGGACACCACGCACTTTGACAAGATCTCGGAAAAAGCGCGCGCCAAGGCCAAGAATATGCGTCACGAGGAGATATTTGCAGATTTCTAGTTGGATTATTTCCCCACCCATTATTGATCGATTTTGTTTGAAGAAAAAGCTAAATATTTCCTAACATTTCTATGCCACTCGGGGGGATCAGCAGGGGAAAGCGTTGACATTCCTACAATATCCATCTGCTTGACAACCAGCTGCTGCTCACATGTGGCAGAGTGGCGGAAGATTTTCCAGGGAAAACAGCTGCTGTGGAGTACTCTCTATCTCTGTTGATTTCCCACACTTGTTGCACGCCCCACGATGATGCTCGAAGTCGACAAACTTCACTTGTAATTAGACTTGTGGCAGTGCCATAAATCTACAACGCAGCGCCCCAACTCTGCCATGTCTTTTGTTGAAAAGATCTTTGATGCAATTGGATGGATTTATGGCCACTTTTGTTTATTTATTTATCTCTACAGCAAAACAGAGTGGCAGGGAGTCTATGTATCTCATGGCCAGAGTTTCGCAGTGGAAACTCTCGAAACTTTTGCACGAAATTATGTTAAACAATATTTAAACGAGCTCGAGCTCCCCGCTCCACCCGCTTGGAGCACAGCAGCCATAAATCTTTTATACCTTTTTCTGCTCTTCTGCATATCGGGCAACATTGATTTATATGCAAAGACTTAATAAAAATAGAGCAGACAGCAAAAAACTAGACGCCAGACCATTAACCCATGGACGTTGGGCTACCTTTTGCACAGGACAGCGGCGCTGCTGCCTTCGTCTCCTTTGTGTCTCCTGTGTCCAGTGGCTAGCAAAACAAAAGCGCCACAAGAAAGGAGAAAAAATGTTATGATTATCATAATTTTTGTTACGTGAGTTTTCATGTGGAAAAGATGAAACATCATCGTCTCCGCTCTGCAGCAGCAATGTCTGACTGCCTGCCTCTTGCCCGCCTCCTGCCTGTCTTTCTGCCTTCCTGCCTCTCCTTGGGGTTGCTTTGCTTGCTTGGGAGGAAGAAGTCGTCATCACTATAATCATGGGCACGCATTTACTCCTGTTTTTACCTCTGGTTTTTGGCGCCCGCCAGTCCGGCGCCAGCACCAACGCCAGACAAGAGACGAGAGAGACTCTGACTGCTGACTCCTCCTCGAACCACGCATCTTCCTACGTCTCCAGACACACATTTTCCTCTGTGTGTGTGTGTGTTTTACTTGTGCGTTTTCCTTCAGGAGTGGGGCTGCTGCTTCCTGGCCAGACTGGAGAATCAGCATCACTGTACCTCTGATTCGGACTGAGTAAGACATCATCCATGCATTCTAATGAGAATTTTAATTGCAGCCCATTGACCACTTGAAAAGTTCCGTCAGCATTCGTTCCGGCCCAAAACGGGGCACGTGGCGGATGCGCCTCACGCTCGACTAGCCTGAGAATTGATGGAAGACCATGGCAAAGGCACAGGCACAGGCACTGCCCCGTGTCCCGTGTCCCGTGTCCATGGCCCAACCCTCGTGGCAAATGCAATGACAAATTTGCAGCACGAAGGAAATTAGCGATGCCCGCCGTCAGATACATTTCACATTACGGACAGACAATTGAGTCCCGGGGGTTGCTGCTCTCTGCCGTCCGTGGAACTTCCCCGAGAAGTAAGCGAATTAATTGTTGTTTTGATTGCGCAAAATTGAGGACTCAAGGATGAGTTCCGACTCCCCTGAAGTGGCTGGGAAAACGGGTTCTCTCTTGTTGTGGGGAAAATGAATTGTTGTACGTTTTATTCGCTGCATGAAATGTGCATGTGGATCGGTGAAAATTCGTTACGAAACTTAAGATCTAAGGAGCACCCAGTCGATCGATGCCTACGACTGCTCCAGCTCAATCTCCACGGAAACGCCGGGCAGATCTTCCTTGAACTCTGGCGTATAGACCTTGCCAGAGGCCAGGACAAACTGCTCCTCGCAGTCCATGATGAAGTAGGCAAAGGGACGATTCACCTCGAAACGCTCCACCCCAGGCTCTGGCTCTGGCTCGGGCACGGGCAGAATGGCGTCGGAATCCTCGGGGGTCTGGGGAGAGCGTGCCTGGGTGGCCGCGGACAGCGCATTGGCACTGCTGCCGCCCTCGTCCACGCGGACATTCACAAACTGCACAATCTCATCCACATGCAAGTCGGCATCCTCCGACAGCAGCCCCAACTCGGCCTCAGTGCGCGAGAAGAGACGCCGCAGGCCCATCTGCTTGAGCATCGACTCGGAGCGCGAGGTCTCCTCCACCTGGAACTTGGGCAGGGAGACGTGCATCTGGCGGAGCTGCGCCTTCTGGCGTGCCAGTTGGAAGTCGCTCGGCTGCAGCTGGGCAATGACATCGTGCAGGCCCTCCGTCTCATCGGGCAGCAGGATGCACAGAGCATAGCGCGAGGTCTCGTACGGCAGCGACAGAACGCGGGCCTTCAGTCGGGTCAAATCTGCCACCAGGAACTCCCCTCGCGTGTGCATCATTGGCGCCTTCATGGCATCCTCGTTGGTCATGAAGAAGAACTCATCGCTGCCATCCCGCAGCTGGTAGAAGGGCGTGGCCCAGCTGCCCCTGTAGTAGAGGCCATTGAAGAGCAACATCTTGGACTTGGAGCCCGCAGAGCGTCCCGTAATGGAATTGGCACTCAGCGCCGAGGTGATGTCATCCTGCCGGAACAGACTGCGTGCGCCATACACCTGGAGGAAGTTTATTATTGGATAACCCAATCGATGAACTTTCTTTCTGCCTTTCTCTTACCCGACTAACCGCGCCCATATGCGTCTCCAAAGCCAGCATTATCTCATCGGCACTGCCCACCTGGGAGGCTGCCTTGACGGCACTTTCCAGTTTCTGGAGGGGCAGGCGCACCTTCTCGGGTTCACCGGCGGTCACCGGCGTCGCCTCGGAGCCGACCACCTTGCGCAGCTTCTCCTCCTCCTGCACCGTTTCGTTCTCCTCCAGATTGAGATTCTGCTTCTCATTCTCATCGCTCCTCTTGTTCTGCTGCTTCTCTGCTGGATTTTCCACACCTTCGGCAATGACAGTGGCTGGTTTTTCCTGTTTTTCCACTGCCTCAGCTGCCGCTGTTTCTGTGGTGGTGGCCTCCGCTTCCGCCTCCTCCGTGGTGGTGCTGGCCGTCGCCTGCTGCTCCCTTTGCAGCTGCTCGGCCTCCGCCTGGGCAACTGGTTTTTCCACATATTGCTTGTCGTCCACCTCGCGATCGAACTTGGAAGCCTCCTTGTCCAGCACCTCCTCGCCGTAGGTGTCGGCGGGCACGGCCACTGGCAGCAAGTCATCGTCCAGATTGATGCGCTTCAGCGTCTCGAATCCGATCACATCCTTGCTGTTGCTGGGCTGCTCCGTGCTGAGACCACCATCCTCTCCGGCCTCTGAGCCGCTGCCCTCTGGCTGCAGTTGCAGCTGCAGCGAAGTGTCTGGCTCGTTCCAGTCATAGTCCTTCCGGTTGATGTCCTTCACCTCCACAAAGTAGTGCTGCTGCAGCAGCTCCTTGTACTCCGCCCGGGCGCTGTGATTGCGGTAGATGTAGAACCAAGTCTGGAACGAGGGCAGCGCCACGGCGGCATCGCGATTCTGGTAGCGTCCCAGCACTCGCCGGTACACAGCCCGCAGCTCGGCGCGATCCTTGGGATAGCCAAAGACCTTGGTGAACTCTGCGTAGGTCTCGCCCTCGGAGGCCTCGGCCAGCACGCCCAGAATGGAGGCCACACCCAGCGGCGAGTGCACCTGATTGGCGTCAATGTCTTTGTTGAACTTCAGCAGCTGCATGGCAATCAGCTGTGAGGTTTCGCTGGCAAAGGAGCTGGCCTTGCCCGAGCTCTCCTTCTCGGCGGTGGGCAGGCAGGCCACCAGGGCACACAGCAGTGGCAGCACACAGAGAACTGCTTTCATTTTGGGAACGTAGCGAACTGACGGATCGCGCGAGTGAAGCGCGAATGAAGCTCAAGAAAGTTGGCCAAAGACTTTTTATGAAAGCCAAAGCCAAAGAATCATTTGAATCCGCATCGAGAACGGCAGCAGCAGCGCAGCCAACTGCGCCTCAAACTGGTTAGCAGAGCGAGAGAGATAGAGAGAGAGGCAGCAGCAGCAGCAGCAGCAGCAGCAGGGGGTTCCATGTAGGGTCTTGCTGCGATCGTTTGTTTGACAAAGAAAGTCGCAAAAGCCTAATGAAAGTGGAAGTGGCGTTGGCGTGGGCTCCGCTCGAGCACCTACAAATGGGTCAAGCAAACAAACAAAATCGATTCGATATGCAAATGTTTACGCTGTCCCCGTCCCCCACACCGCTGGAAAAAAGAGTTCAAAGTCATTGAAAAGCCCAGCAAATGGAAGTGCCAGTCCAGAGTCAACAACAGGTTTCCACACCCGACCCGACTCGGGGGCTACGTGATGTACATTATGCGAGCATTTTTCTCTCGCTGGTTAATTGCATTTTCTTGTCTCGTGTGGCAATCCCTGAAACCCTCCAAACATTGCCACACACAGCAGCATCGGGCTTGACCGTTAGATCTAAGATCTAGCTGTGTGTAGGAGAGAATTTCGCAAAGCCCTTGCTGTTTATCCAGAGTTCTTGAGCTCGAGATTCACTACCTGACCACGCTTGACCCAGTTTCTATGTAAATCGAGTGGCGAGACATGGCCAGAAGCGGCCCAAAACACACACACACACACACACACACACACACACACAGTTTCAGCACACTTGGAGGCCACTGAACTTGGCCGTCGAGTCGTCATCATCATCATTGCTGGCGTTGGAGTCGTGCTTCTGATTACCAAATAAGACACAAAAGACACGGCTCAAAGCCAGGGGAAAGCGGCCAGAACGGAGAGAGGCAGAGACACAGTCAGAGTACACCAGGTGCCGGTTCGAGTCTGGCTCCATACAAAGTGCTAAATTTACACGCTGCGGTTAGCCAGCAGCGACGCGCTTTATGGAGAACAAGTTTTCCATTTCCAGAACAAGTCTCGGCATAAAAAGTTGCACAATTGCATTGGGTCTAGGGGGGAGGGGCAGGCAGGGGCGGTTCAGGGAAAAAGAGGCTGGGATTCGGTTATATAATTTATACAACAAGTTCCGCATACAGCCCGAGATACAAATACTCTCACAGATGCTACTCAAGCTCAGGTTACTGAACTTCATTTTGGGATTAATCAAAGCGCCAAAACGATGCCAATTAGCAGCCAGAGACATGGGATTCTCATATCATTCGATTGGTGCTTTTATTTGCTTACATTTTGCACTACTTACTTGGCGGGGAGTGTGTGGCCACTGCGACTCTTGCGAGTGCTGCAATAAAAAGGGAACAAGTTGATTGTGTTAGAAATGCCGCCAAGTCAAAGGTGAATGTCCATAAATGTCAAGGTATACTTATTGCTTTCTAGATTTAGCGATTAGAAATTGATTTTGTGTCTTTAATAATTCATTAATTTGTCAATAATACAATTTATGAGAGCTGGCGAACTCAAACTACGAGAATTTGCGTTCTAAGATTTCTTTTCTGATTCAATTCATTCTTTGAACACTTTTTCCTTTTAGTGTTTTATTTAATAGTTTACAATTTCTGGCTCTAAAAATATTTCATACATATTTAAACCTTTTTTCGCTTCATTTCTTCGCTTCCACCCAGAACTCTTTCATTCCTTTATTGTCACCTTGGAGCTTTTGAAACAAGAGACAGAAAACAGCAAGAAATGTTTTGTGTTTTGTATTTTGTATTTTTGTGTGGCGTACATAAATTTCGATGCCCAAAACCATAAATTAGTGCGTCGTAGTGGTGCCAGTGCCGAGTGGTTGGAGTGTTTCGTTGAGAGAATTCTTTCCATGTGGGCGGCAGAGCCCAGGCCCGAAAAGGGTCGTGCGGGTTACGTGAATTAGAAGTTATTAAGGAAAGAAAGAGCAGGGAGAGCGAGAGAGTGGGAGAGTGGGAGAGAGAGTAGAAAACTAACAAATGTCGCATAAATTAGAAAAGTGGAATGGAATCCGGCAGGACATGGACACGGACACGGACATGGACACCTTCTCGACTTCTTGTAAGACGAGGCCCAAACGGCACCGCGGGGAGACATTAAGAATTAAGAGAGGAATCTTTATTCGAGTGCTGGACAATAGTTTGGGAAATAGTTTGCCGGCTGTTTATGGAAGGGCGTGACTAATTGTTTGATTTATGCAAATGTACTGCGAAACTTGTTTTGCTTTTCTTCGACTCCTTTGAGGCGCAGTAATTAGTGTGGAAAGAAGTCTTTAAGAAACGTTTCCTTGCCCATAAGTTTCAATCCTTTTGGCTTTAAGGAACCTCATCTCTAGCTGGAGATGGGGCTCTTGGCTCCTGTCATCTGTCAGTTGTCAGTTGTCAGTTGGCTGGCAATACATCATAAGTCAAAAGGTGAGCCCTGGCCTCGGCGCTGCCGCCAGGCAACTTGCACAATAATTAAACTTCTGTTTATTCTCTCTCTCTCTCTCTCTCTCTGGTCTGCCTTGGAAGTTCTTAATTATGTTTGATAAACTAACAGACTCCACCCTCTACCCCACACACATGTCACGTTGACATTTGGCACTCGACAGGCCTGGGAGATGACGAATCTCTCCCCTGCTCAGACCATCCGCCTTTTCTTTTGCCTCCAGGGCCATGTGTGTGACATAATTACAGAACAAAAGCCTCTGAGGGGAGGGCGAAGTGTAGTCAAACGGCAAAGGTGGCTGCTCTGAAGTCTTCTACGGAATTCACGCGCTTCATTTGCTTCGCGAACTTTTTCGGGCACTCCATTTAGTCACGTTTTAAACTTGAAAAGAGAGTGGAAAAGTGGAAAGTGGAAAGTGGCAGGCTCCAGGACCCAGCGTCTAACAAGTTGTTTGGCTGTGAAAGGCGCAGATCCTGCCCTGCCACTTTCCTGGCCGGGGGGAGAGGCTAAATCCCACTCGTAATTGATTTATGACATCAAAGACATATTTTTCGCAATGTTGCGTGGCCTACGTGCGTGACAGTTGCCATTTGGACCGGGAAGACCAGCAGCACCATGGCCTAAAGGAGTGGCTAGGACTCGGTCTAGTAGTGGTCCTGCTCCTGGCCATCTTGTTGATAATTTTGACTTATGGCCAGGCGCTCGTGTCGGTGTGTCGGGCTCTGGTCTGGTCTGGTCTGGTTCTGCTGCTGTGCAGGATTTGTCACATAACTCGTTGTCACTGGAAGCGGCGGGCGAGCGTCTGTCAAAAGTCGCACACGAAGAAGTGCCTCCCCGGGAAGTGCCTGCGCCCCATCACCCCACCCCACTTCCATCTCTATCTGTAGATGTAACTGTATCTGTATCTGTATCTGTGGCAAAGTTTTTCTATTAGGCGCAATTATTTCAAGGTATTATTGCTTTTAATTAATTCAATTAAACGCTTCATAAATTTTTACTTTTTGATTTGCGCTTTTGCCTGCGGCATTGGCGGTCTGCCTGGGCGCCTTTCCTTTTAATGGAAAAACTTTTGCCCAATGGTTGGCCAGAGGATTTCCACCCAAAGGGTTTAATTAACGGCAATTGCTGGCAAAGGAGCAGCAGAAGGAATCTGTTACTTTTCTCAAGATTCTCAGATTCTCAGATTCTCAGATTGTTTATTGAGATTCCCCGTGGATGCTAGTGGCTTTGGCTCATCGTAAAATTTGATTTTTGGGATTTGAATGCCGCTTATTGAATGCCAGGAGGGGTGGGAGTCGGGTGCTCGCGTTTATTTGCATTTTTGTGTGCATGGCTGGAGCAGGAGAAGTCTCCGAAGCAGAAGAGGGAGTCGGACTGGAGGGCGTGGCACATTCCACCGACTACTCTGGCTCCCGACTCCTGCTCTTCGATGAGTCCCTGCCTGATCGAATTACCTCCCCCAAAACAAACCAAAAGCAACAATAAAAAAAGCCAGAACAAAAGCTCAAAGTTCGCTTTCTGGCACTTCAATTAAAAGGTCATCAGCAGTCGACACAGCTGCTGCACAGGGGGGGATATCCTGCAGGACTACAGCCTCTGCCACTGCCACTGCCACTACCTAAAACGTTATTGATATGTAAGAGGCATGCTGCTCACACCTTCCCATAGAGACAGAGAACGAGGGCGGATGGATGCGAGGACTCTCATGTGGACTCTCATCGTTATCAGGGAAAAGTTTTTGCTGTCCTCTGTCCGGTCAAGGGGCCAACCCTCTGGCAAATAATCGAACTAACGTACAACAACAATTTGTTTTAAATGCCAAAAGGGAACAATCAGCAGAGTCAGCCAGCCAATCGAACCCCTTAATAATTTATGAAGCAAAGGTGCCAGGGATCCCTCCTGCCGCTCTCTCCACATGTGGGGCAAAAGTTTTTGCCATCTAATAGAGATTAAATGCATGTCGAAAAGGCAATTAGTTGGAGCTTCTGTTGCGGGTGTGTAGCTCCAACATTCAACCCTCCAAGTCCCCTCCCAGTGGCTCCCACTTTCGACCTTTGTCCTTTTTGCTCATTGAATCAAAGTGTTGCTCAATTTTTCTTTTGGCCAAATGTGTTCAAGGTGTTTGGCTGTTCCTTGAGGGTTGGATGGATGGATGCTGGATGGATGCTGGATGGAGTGGCAACTGCCGGAAGCAATTTAACCGAACCCTTCTCACAGATCTCAGATGGGAATCAGATGGGCGCAACGTCAATGCTAATTAAACTCGCGCTGTCGCCGCTAATGAGCAATGAAAACAACGTGTTGTTCCTTGCAGGACTCTGATAAAGTCCCGGTCCAGCATCCCGCATCCGGCATCCGGCATCTGGCATCAGCGGCTTCTCTCAGGTTAAATCAGCCATCAAAATAATGAAGGCCCGGCACAGATTTCTCATTACTTTTAAATATTTTTCCAGCAATTTTCGGGCACTTCTTTTTTACTTTTTGTTTTTTTTGTTCTTAAGCCATTTAAAAGGATTAGTTGGCTGATGATTTTTTCAAAGGA